GCCGAGAGGAACACCTTAGATGAGGAACACGTACATTTAAAAGTCTGAAGATGCAGCACATTTCAAAGGTGCCTGGTATTGGAATATGCAGCTTTAACAATAATATTTTTTGCAGTTGATATAGTGTCTTATCACATTGTGAAGAGTTCTCAAAGTGCTTCACAGAATATACTGGAGTGACTGTATATTTTGTGGGTAAAACACAGCAACCAGCTAATTTTATTTGGGGAACTATTGGCCAGGACACCGTGTGAGAGAAACTCCTTTCTCTTTTCGAACCGCGCCGTGGAATCTTTGACATCCACCTGAATAGGCAGGTGGGATCTTGGTTTCAGGTTTCATCTGAAGGACAGACCTCCAAACAATGCAACACCCCCATCCTTCAGCACTGAATTGAAGTGTCAGCTTAGGCTATACTCGCTGTACCCGTTACAGCTTCTCTTGCAACCAAAGGATCCAACATGGAATGTAGATTGACACAGAGACAGACATCTCATCTATACTCATGTGGGAGGACTCCTGTGGGCGGACTTTGTTCTTCAGTTTCATTTAATGGGCCTTCTCTTTTTTGTCTTGCATTTTTACTGATCCTTGAAAGGTTTGATTTTCATTTAGGCATCTTTATAATGATAAATATAACAACAACAAAATTACATTTGTATTGCGCCTTTTACGTCGGGAGGACGTCCCAAGGTGCTGGACAGACAGACTTATAAATGTATAATTTATAATCACTGGGATGTCCTCCCGACGTGAAAGACGCTTTAAAAATGAGATCTCATTGTTGCCGCAGCTTAGCTTCGTCTGTGTTCTTTATTTTGTTCCCGCCGCTTGGCTGCGTGCGTTCTCTGTGATGCCACCGTGCCACGGTCAGCTGGTGCAGACACCAGGTGTAACTGCAGTGTATGCGTACATACACAGGGGCTCTGTGACACATGATGCCACAGCGCCAGTTTGACAAGGCGGCCACCAGGTTTAAGAGTAGCAAAACTGAAAACAACTCATGAACGATTGGAGATACCCAAAAACAAATATGCCCACACACAGACAGACAGACAGTCACCCACAGCCAGACAGAGTCATTTTATTAGTATAGAAGAAGATAGATGATCCCAAGTAACGCTGTGAGGCTTGAACCCACAACCTTCTGACTTGGAGGCGAGAGCGTTTCCACTGCGCCAGGCTGACATAAAATATCCCGGGAGTACTTTGTCTCAATAGCGCTTCCTTTAATGAAGCATCAGACTTTCTAAATCATCTGGACGCTTGAGATCTGTGAAATTTAACTGGACTTCGAAATTCTCAGAATAGCTTGAGCTGACGCTGACTCTTTGTGACCTTCTTTCTCCCCATGTGAAAGGCGCTGTACAATGTTAATTGTTGCTGCTCTTCTGAGCTTTCAGTCATCTTTCCCTTCCCCACCCTCCTGCACTCTTCTCTACCCCACAACTCATATGCCCATTCAGCACTGTCAAGCCGTTCCTCCAAGGTGAAAGGCACTCTATTTAAAAGTAAATTGTATTGTTGAGAAGCAGAGGAGAGAGGACATAAAAGGAAAGCCCTTAAATAATAAGGCTTACTGTCACATCGTCGAGATGTCTTAAAGCACTTCACAGGATTTATTGGGAGATGTAGTGACTGTGTATTTTGAAGGCGAACCCTGCAGCCAGTTGGCACACAGTAATGACTATAATCAGGTTGGAGTGAATGATCAGTTTTATCTGATAGAACACCAGGAAAAACTGTCCTTAACGTCCAACTGAACAGGCAGGCGGGATCTTAAGGCCTTATCCTCAGGTCTCCCACACACACACACAAACAAACAAACACACACAACCAACCACCACATTATTATCAAGAGATTTACCAAAATTTAACAAACTGATAGAACAGGTGCGATGGGCGGTATAGCCTCCAGTAACAGTGCTGCCCTGACTCCATGTTGACTTTGCATTGCTAACTTGCTTACAAACAATTGTTCCTTCAACAAGAGAACAAGAGAGTAGACCACACCACCTGTGGATTTGTTTTGTCAGCGAGACAATTCATTCTTCCAGAGTTTTGAGGCTCTATCTCATTACTGTAACCTTTCATTAGCAGTGAATGTTTTATATTGAATTCCATTTTTATGCATGCTCCACATGCGCCAGACAACCTTCAAAGAAAACCGTTGGGGAAATCTTCCTTTCTCTGGAAACTGTTCATTACACAATGTCAAGAGGTGCACTGAGCCAGCCAGTGTTCTTGCATCAGCATTAGTACACATTGTTCTCATTAAAGGGCTTCAGTGCTACACTGGCGTGTCCGACTAAAGGCTGCTGGGCTTGCCTTCACAACTCTCGGACACTCATTACTACTTGCAACCCGTTATATAATGCAAAAAGATGCTCTTCCCTGGGACTATGTTACAGCCTGGGTGGAATGTACTGGGGAAGGACTTGCATTGCCACCAGAATACAGATGCAGAACTTAAATTAAAATGCTGTTTTGTTTTTCGGAAGTGATTTTTGTATCTCGCCAACTCTCCTTCAGACCACAAGATGGGATTGGTCGCAGAAGGCCCTTTGACCCATTGACCTCATTCCTCCACAACATCTGTCCTACCATTCCCTCTGAAATACTCAGACACAAAAAGAATATGTGATTATATCCCGCATGGGTTACAATGAACACAGATAGGCAACTTGTATTGTGCCTTTCATGCAGGAAGAATGTTTCAAGGAGCTTCAGTTAGAACAGACAACATTGAGCAGGGAAAGGTGAGATTAATAAATACAAATATTAATCTTGCAGTTGATATAATGCTTTATCTTAACATCAAACTATCTGAAAGCCATTGTACAGGATTTGGCATAAAGTGTAGTCACTGTATTTTTTGTTTTATATTTGCACACAGCAATATCCCACACATAATAATAATCCTTGCATTTGATACAGTGCCTTATCATGTCCTTGATACGTCTCAAAGCGCTTCACAGAATATACTGTAAAGTGGATTGACCGTATATTTTGCGAGCAAAATGCGAAAACCAATTGCGCACAGCACTGTCCCACAGAAGGATCTTTAATATTGGAGATGCCATCCTTTTTAATACTGTATATGTGGGGTTTGAACCCACAACCCTTTAACTCAGAGGCAAGAATGCTGCCAACTCAAATAGGCTAACACTATTAAAGATGCTGCCCAAAAGCACAGCTCCCTCTGTTCGCTTTGAGTCACTGTGTCACCAAGCCTAGTAGCAGTATTCTTCCCAGATAGCACATGGACTTTGCATTGCCTGCCTGCTTACAAATAATGATTCATTTTGTAAGTTGCCAAAGATTATATACCATTCACAGTGGAAAAGTTTGGAAGCACAGAGAATGTTCGTTCATCCTTAGATTCACTCGGATAAAAATTTAAAAGTAAATCTGGTTAGATCTTTGAATGCATTAGAGAAATCTTATTTTGTTCCTGAAAGGGCAGCAAATATATCATACATAATCCTGGGAAAGCAGGATGTAATTACATGCCTCTCATTCATCTGTTGGCCTTCGATGAGTGAACAAGTGCGGGGCTGCAGGGAAACCTCCCAGGAGTGTATTGTAGAAGGTAATCACATCACATCATCAAGACATCTCAAAGCACTTCCAACATGGAAAAGGTGCTGTGTAAATGTTATGTTTCTGAAAGGGAAACACAAAATATTGCTCATGTGGCCCACGGACCTTTTTCAAATAGGGAATCCAGCCCGTGGCAGGCAAAATGTTGGACCACACTGGCATATACCATACATTTGACTTTTAAATAGCGCCTTTTAAGTTGGGAGGATGTCTCCAAAGACTTGACAATTCTGGTTGACTGTGTTGACCGAGCTTGAAGTGGGAGCCAAGGGGGAGCACGGTCAAAGAGATACATCTTGATATGGACCTTGAATGAGGTGAAGGAGTGAGTGAGTCAGAGATACTCTGGGATGCAGTCCCAGAGAGCTGGAGCAGAGTGTCTGACCACTGATTCTGGGGAGGATTGGGCAAGGGACATGAAGCAGGCTGGTACTTGACACCATATGAAAAGCCATGGAAACCCAGATGAGCGTGTACCAGGATTACTTTTGTCCTGGAGGTTCAAATCCATTCACTCCCTGGTACCTCCCTATCTCCTCATTCTCCAATCCACCACCTGGCACCTCTGCTCGACTGGTACAAGCCTTCTACTTGTCCCTTGCACCACTGGAGGTCACGCTTTCAGCCACTATGCCTCAAAAGTTTGGAACACTCTACCTCAATCCATCCGCCTTGCCCCCTCTCTCTCCCCTTTTTCAAGTTCTGCCTGAAAACCTTCCTTTTTGCCTGGGCTTACAGTCACCCCCCAGTTCGGATGCAGGATCTGCCACTGTTAAGCGCTCTGAGATGCTACCCTGCATGTAGGACGCAACAACAAGTACAAGTTGTTGTTGTTGTCAGTGGCTCGCAGTCTGACAGCATCCAGACCTTAACAGCTCCCTGTATTTGAAGAGACACTGAGCAGAAAAATCCAAAGAGGAAGCCAGTCGGTGTCTATTACATCAGGTTCCCGTGTGGTTTACCATGGTGTAGACTCCAGCCTGTACCCTTGCAAATGTGATCACAAGGAGACGTCATTTTAAATAAAGCCCGGGAAAGGTGCAATTAGGACTGTAAAGAGACACGGTATATTTAACAGACGCAGGCGGGCGTATTGTGCATCTGCGAGTGTCAATCGTCATCATCTACCTTGTGTAATGACGGCTGCTTCTTCCGAAACAGGGTCCCTTCAGTGTATTTCTACAATCGCACTGGTTAATTCATCACAAAGGGAATGCTGAGCAAGTTATCTGCTTGGCACAATAATATGTGGCATGAGCCTAATAATTCTGTGTTTTCACAGCGAGGCCAGGAGCTCTGTGGGGATCTCTATTGCTGGCTCCTAGCAGGGTTGTTTTGCCTGCTTGTTAACCTCCAATTAGTCTCGCACAGTTTCTAAGCGGATGTGCTTTATGCAGATAACCACGTTCAAGTCACGAAGGCTGCCTTCAGCATCAGGATCCTGGATGTTAACGACAACCCTCCTGAGCTCTCCATGCCATTCGAAGCCGCAATTTGTGAAGACTCCAAACCAGGGCAGGTAATACCAACGCACCACTGGCTGGGGGAGAACTGTCCTTATTCCTCCCAGCAACACAAACAAACAAACACTCACATGCACACACACACACACACACACACACACAAAGACCCTCATTCTAGCAGTGGTTACTCTAGTGGAACCTGGCATCCGTGGGATTCCCAGGGGCCAGTCAGATGGTCATTCTTCGAAAGCCACCAGCTCTTCAACCATACAACACAATAAAATGTATACGTACGATTGGGAAGGACATCCCAAGGCCCTGGACAGTGAAGTGTTTGCACCCACGTTGGAGGTTGGAATCAAGAGGGGTGGAGTGCAACGGCCTTCAAGGAGGCGAGGGAGGGAGCGAGGCGGAGGGATTCGGGGATGGAGTTCCAGAGGATGGGGGCAGGAAAGCTGAAGGTCCAATTGCCAATGGTGTTGTGGGCAGGGCAACTTGAGCCTTTCTGCCCTCACCCTCCATCCCTGAATCCCTTTGCCTCACCCTCTCCCTCGCCTCCTTCAAGGCCCGACTAAAGACTTTCCTCTTTGATCATGCCTTCGGCCACACTCCCACCCCTTCCCCTCCAACCCTCTCAATTCCAAACCCCAGCTCCAGTGCAAGCCCTTAATTGTCCAGCGCCTTAGGCCGTCCTTCCGACGTGAAAGACGATGTATAAATGGAATTTGTTGTTGTATAATGCCTTTCATATCCGGAGGTGAACCCAAAACAACAGGCACTGGAGGCAAGGTCCCAGCACCTGTGAGAGAACCACTTAACACATCAGCACTGCCTTGCACTTCACCAGTCCAACCCTCACCTGTGCCAGTAGCACAGAGGTGAAACCTTAGGCAAGTTTCCTTACTCCACACACCTGGTTACCAAACAGTAAGTAGTCATTAGTCGTTTGGGGAATCGTTTTTCCAGGGGTAATAATCCCTTCAAAATTAAAACTAATAATAATATGATCACTCAATCCAGGAATGTTTGTGGGACACCGCTGTGTGCAATTAGCTATCTTGTTCCGCCCACAAAATATACAGTCAATGCACTTTTCTGTGTGTCCTGTGAAGCGCTTTGAGGCATCTCAAAGACATGAAAAGACCTTATATCAAGTTCAAAGATTATTATTAGTCAGAGAAAACTATACAAGAGGTTAAGGGTCACCTCTTGTTTTTGCAGCTGATCCATACCATCAGTGTGGTCGACAAGGACGAACCACAAGGTGGACATCGTTTTTACTTCACTCTGGCTCCCGAAGCTGCCGACAGTCAGCACTTCACGCTCTGGGATATCAAAGGTAGGTCTGCTGGTGGGAACAGCCCTGGTACAATGCAGCACCAATGTTACTGTGCAGTGATAGGAGAACACACAGAAAAAGTGGAGCTGAGAGAGAAAGACGCGGTCAGTTGAGAGCACTCTCGCCTCTGAGCCAGAAGGCTGTGGGTTCAGGCCTTCAGCCTTTCTACCCCCACCCTCTGGAACTCCATCCTGGAGCCCCTCCAATCACCCACTCCTTTGCCTCCTTCAAGGCCCGTCTCAAGACCTTTCTTTCGACCGTGCCTTCTGTCATCTTTTCTCCTCCACCCCCCGCGCCCACGAACCCTCTCTGATCCCAATCCGCAGCTCAAAAGAAAAACCCTCATTGTCCAGTGCCTTGGGACATCCTCTTGACGTAAAAGGTGCTATATAAATTAAATTTGTTGTTGTTGCACACTGGGTCACATTGCAGCTGCAGGCCTCCAGGCAACAGCAGTGGCTGTTGCTGTGAACCAGCACTATTGACCCAGTTAGGGGGTAAGAGCTCAGTCATCAATACCTTTCAGCTTACACAGCACTCGCTGAACCAACAACTTCATCTCAAGAATTTAAACAGCAAAGATAATAGTCATCAGCAAGGCTCTGCCACAATGAAGGCTAGGCAGGAAAAGTGTGATAAAGCAAACCGCCTTGCACATGTCCTGGATCCTTTTGTCCCTGAATACTACAGTACAGAATGAGGAATCACTAAGCCGAATCCTGCTCTTTACTGAGGTTTCTAAACCTTGGATATATTCGTCAATCTGTGAATGTTGCAGAGCAGTTCAAAGCTTATGAGGCACAGATGTTATGTTGACCTTCCTTTATACGAGGCAAACAGCCGCAGCCTTTTATTTAATTCCAAACAATTGCTGAAGGAACAAAGACGTCACAATCCTCTCACCGATTCTTAGATAAGTGGACAATTAAGCAAGCGGATGCCTGACCACCTATTTGAGGCTAGACAGACACAAAGCACAGGAGTCTGATGCCAACCTCACTTAACATAAGAAATGCTAAACGAAAAAAGACCAAGGTCAATCTAGTTCGCCTTCCACCTTCCTGGCCGTCGCATGCACATGTGTCCCAAACTACCTTTGTACTATATCCCATAATGTTATTTTCTAAAAGAAAGCTGTCTAATCTGTGTTTGAAAGAATCAACACTTCCTACTTCAACCGTCTCCCCAGGGAGCCTGTTCCACAGGTTCACTATTCACTCATTGAAATAGTGTTTGGTAGATTTGTTCTGAATTTATCCCCATTCACTCGCAGGCCGTGTGCTCTGGTTTTACTATTCTGAACAAGTTAAAACAGCCTGTCATTATCTATATTGTCTTGCCCCTTTAGAATATCAAAGACAGCAATCATATCACCTCTCAATCTCTTTTCTAGCATGAACATGCCCAATTTACTTAGTTGCTCCTCATAGTCCTTTTTGTACTGGGGGCGACAGAACTGTACACAATATTCTAAGTATGATTCTCTGACACACCATTCCCAGCGCAGGATTTGCTTCTTCGACAATTCCCAAATCCCCACCCAATCAAAACTTCAGATGACTTTCTCTTTGTAAAAAAGTAAGAGAAGATTTAACCTTATGGTTAGAGCACTCACCTCACAAGCGAGAGACCTGGATTTGATTCCTGACAGGGCGAAACTCGAGCGAGTTTCCTTATTCCACACGCTTGATAATAATCCTTCAAGAAAAAGAAAAAACAATAATTATCTGGTCACTCAATCCACGACTGTTTGTGGGACACTGCTGTGCCCAATTGGCTGCCGCATTTCGCCCGCAAAATATACAGTCAATTCACTTTACAGTGTATTCTGTGAAGCGCTTTGAGACGTCGAGATGTGAAATGCGCTATATCAAATGCAAGGATTATTTATATTATTATTATTATAGTATTATCTGCCAAAACCTGCAATGTCTAGGCCACTTGGCTCAATTGAGATCCTTTTACCATTGAGACCTTTGTATCAAATATTTTATCCAGACAATGCAGCATTCCCCCATCACCATCCTTGAGTGTGAGCTCAGATGCTGAACTCAAGACTCAATGTGATATTTGAACCTACAACAACACTCAACTCCAGAGACTAGAGTGTTACCAACTGAGCCAAACTAACACCTGACTGAATAAAGCACCCTGCACAGCTGACTCATGCAGCTGAGTGTGATCCCAATGGTTTTATTTGATGGAGAAGGTCTGAGTGCAAGCTGGGCAATTAATTACTTTTCTCACCTATAGTGATTGTCTCACTTTCTTCACTTCCAAGCTCCAAAACCCAAACTACCATCACTTCAAAACATCGTATAATTAAACTCTCTGGATCATGCATCCCAATGCCTACTGAGCATCACTGATGACTGAACAGACTATTGCGTAGAGCAGGTAGATGAAGTGAAAAAAAGAGTTAGAGACATCAGTAGCTTCTGGTGAGACAAACACTGAATGAACTTGGGCATGGAGTATTCAGTTGCTGAATCATATCATTCATCTTTTTCCACAGAGCTGATGGGAACCGTCATTGAAATCAATAGATGATTCTCCTGAACTTGAGTATAACAAGTTAAAACACATTGTTTGCCACTGAGAGCACTGTCTGCAAGATTCCTGCTGTTTTTCCAGCTAGGACTACCCTAGCCGTTAGGATTTTGACTTGCAGGGTTAACAATAACAAATTGCATTTATATAATGCGCCTTTCGAGTTTCTCTCAGTGTTCTGGCCAACAATCCCACAGATAAAATTGATCATTCCCTTCTTGGTTCTCCGTGGGACATTGCTGTCAAATTAGATACCACGTTTGCCTACAAAATACAGTCACTGCGCTTTACAGTAAATCCTATGAGCACTTTGAGATGACCTCCAGACGTGAAATGCAAGGATTATTTCATTATTATTGTTGTTATAGATTATACTTTACAGTACTACCCAACAGGAGACTATTCTGCCCATTGAGTCTGGGCTGGTGCTTGATCCCACAATGGTTCCCTACAAATTACTAAGTGTGCTTCTTCTACTGGGGTGGGGATGGGGGGGGTCATTACATGGCAAACGTTGCTGGAATCCATGAATACAATAGAGCTCATGCAGATCATTACCAACAAGTAGAGACGCTTTGGAGGTTTAATTACTGTAGAAAAGTAGATGTCAATATATCAAAAGGAAGGATATAACTAATTAGCAGCAAGATGACTTGTCCTGGAAATATACAATGAGGTTGTGAAGCATTGCCGATGAACTGTCAGACTTAATTGGCAGAGACTTGGATTGCGTCACTTCAGACTTCGAGGAAGAGCCAAAACTTTTCAGCAGAAAGGAGGTGACAAGTGTATGGTTAGAGTAGCCTGAGCCTTAGAGCCCAAGTTACCTTTGCCTGCGATGGGATAGAGACCAACGGGGTTAGGTGCCGGAGCGAGGTTAGTTGCCAGAGCAAAAGTGGCAGCCAGTTTGCACACAGCAAGTCCCCACGAACAGCGATGAAATGAATGACAATTTTATACTTGGGGAGTAGGAGCATTAAAGGCAACCAGGGGTATAGGTAAATGGGCCTGAAAGGATAGCTCTTTTAAGGAGCCAGTATAGACATGATGGGTCGAATGGCCTTCTTCTGTGCTGTAAATTTCTCAGGATAGGTTGAACAGGCAGGCACATGAGCTGATAGCCGAGGGGAACACACTCAATGGGTTGAATGATCCAGATTCCTGTCTAACAGATTGTGCATGGGACCAAGGAATCCAAATTGTAGATAAAGTCAGGAACAGGGTTAATTATTTTAATACCAGGAATTGGTTAAAACTCTTCATAAAACCGAGGCTCAGAACTTTATTCCAGGCTCCATCATTAAAATGAAATCAGTTGAAGTGACCTTAAATGATCGTTCCTTTACATGTGCAGGCAGTGGCAGTGAGGACAATCAGAACACATTCAGTATAAATTGGCTGAAATGACTCATTGCTGCAAATAGCCAATCATTTAGGATTTGTCGGGCTAATTGTCGGAGTCAAATGTTCACTTGAAAATGCCCTTGTTCAGAAAGCGTTTGCTCCATCTTGTGCCTCTGTGTTCAGACTATACTTATACAGTTTACCGTTTGTAAAATGTCCCCAAACCCAACATTTTCCTTTTATCCACAAAATGTTTAGTCAATGCATTTTTTAGTATATCCTGTGACGCGCTTTGAGGCGTATCGATGACGTGATGAAATACTGCATCAAATGCAAGGATTCTTATATATTATTTTCCTCCGATGTTTTTGCCTTATTTAGGCTCAAACACACAGGCAGCAGTGTAAAGCATTTTAAAAACATCCCCGTGACATGAAAGGAGCTATATAAATGTAAATTGTATTGTGTTGTATTTGGCATATTTAGCATTGTGCTTACTTCAGCATCGCTTCCCTCAGTACAATACAATTTACACGTTGGGAAGATGTGAAAATGATTTTCAATGCTGGCTAGGCACTGGAGCTAGGGGATGGGAGTCAACGAGGGCAAGAAGGGAAAGATAACTAAAAGCGTGGTTAGAGAGGTATGCCATGAGAGGTGACCTTGAACGAAATGAGCAAGTAGGAGAGACTCCGGGAGTTCCAGGGAGTGGAAGGTGAACTGGATGGACCTTGGTCTTCTTTCATCTAACAATTTGTACGTTCTTTTGTAACTCCCACAGCTGATGCTGGCTTGAGAGCCAGGCTAACTCAACCACTGGGATTCGAGCAGTTTATCCAGCGTTACTGATCTTCACATTTGCTCTGATAAGATCCCTTCCCTTCCAAATAGGCTTTCTTTCTGCTAGATGTTTCAATGTCCTTTTCTGCTGTTACTTTTTCTTAATCGTAAGATCACACACCTGGGTTTGCAAGATGATTCATCTCCTCACCTTACACCGGGATCTGAGCTCTCAGTAGGAGTTGCTCCTTTTAGGGCTCATTTTAACTGCCTCCAGCTGCAAAGAGAAGTCACCTGCACTGTTATTGGCACTCTGAGTCACCCCC